CTTAAACTTCAATTTGTGATTTTCAAACTCTGAAAAAATCGTTTAAATTATGGACAAATATGGAAATGCTTCTTTAGTAGATTTCAAAATTATTTAAAGCACAATTTTACTGATAGAATATAACTTTTTTGGAGAGGGAGTTAGTTAAAAGCAAGCATACCAATATATTTTGAAACCAACTCTTAATTCACAAGAGCACATGTACTGGGGAGGCTAGAAAACTGCAAATTCTGACATTCTTCTCAACTAGTAACAAATTTCTAGTTGTGGTAGAAATTATTTTATGCTCATGCAGTTCTAAGCTGCAAGGGCCTCTGATACAGCGTGGCTCCTGCGGCCAAACGGAAGTAGCTGAAAGAGGGATCTGTGTTCTTTGTGCAGCCAGCGGAGCCCCCAGGGAGAGTCCAGTGCTCTAGGTCACATCAACTCTCTGCAGAGAAGGGCTCTTAACAGAACTCTTTCATGCTCATACAGTGTATGTTCCTTTGTATGCTTAGTATAGCTTAAAATTGCTGCAGATCCTTTTCAAGGAGTACAGAAATGGTAAGCTGCCTTAATTTCTGCATAGTGTCTCCTTCTCTGCTGAATAGTTCACATTGAACATGCAGCAGTATTTTGAACCGATCAACCATCTGCTTAATCTTGTCCTGTTAAACATAGTGAGTTAAAAAGCTGCTAGTTTTGAAGTTTTCTATTAAAGAATGTTTAAAATTTCTTTCCTCCCAGAAATAGGGAAGGAGAAGAAAGCAACTGTCTTTCTGTAAAACTTTGCGGGGGACATGCAAGCCTCTCCCCAGTAGATGGCAGAACTTTTATAATATTTCTGAATTTCATCCAATTTAGAGATCATCCAGTGCTTTCATAAAGACTCATTTTTCTAGGTTACTGTGCCAGCAGGATGGAATAACTTAATCCTTTTATAGTCATTCCTTCTCCAAAACTTGCTTTCAAAACTGTTAGCTGTTTCATCCTTAATTCTGGAGCACATAAAGGAAGCTTGTTCATTTATGGCATCTGCTGTGTTTTGAGAAAGTGAACGGTGTTTTCCGTAGCCAGCAATGTGATAACATACCCTGAAATACATCCTGGTCCTTCTTTTTGCACATCGATTCCATGGCAATTTAAAAAGCTTTTAACTTTTCCTCTTGTGCTTGCAGTATGTGCGATTGTCATATGACACTAAGCCTGAAGCTATTCTGCAACTTATGCTTAAGGAATGGCAGATGGAGTTGCCGAAGCTTGTTATATCTGTACATGGGGGCATGCAGAAATTTGAACTTCACCCACGCATCAAACAGTTGCTTGGCAAAGGTCTTATTAAAGCCGCAGTAACAACAGGGGCCTGGATTATAACTGGAGGAGTGAACACAGGTAAAGAGGTACCAGTGAATATGTGCTGTTAACAAGATTGTGGTTTCTAAAAGCCAAAAGATTTAATGGGTGCATAGCTTCATCTTAAAGTGAAGTAAATTTGAGTGAGTTTGGTCAAGTGAAATTAAAATAACACGTTTTGAACCAGTGTAGTTAGAAGTGGGCTGCTTTTTGTCTTGCAGAGAACCAACACAAAGGGTGGGTGGGGCTTTCTGGATTTCTCGGCTTTTTGTGTTTGGTTTGGCCTTCTTGGAGGTGGTTTTTTTTTTTTCAGTCCTTGAAATTGCAAGAGGAAAAAATGTGATTAAAGAGTTTTGAGTACGTTACTACACTTGTTTAATTTCTTACAAGGTTAATATTTGCTTTGTGGACTTACTTTCTGGTACATAGTACTTTGTTTCCTTCTGGTAGATGTAGTATGGTGCTTTTTCCTTGGTGCTGTGTCAGATAAGTTCCCAGATCCTTAAAGACCCAGTTAACTAATAAAACAGTTGTATTTCTTAATAAGATGCAGCATTCAATACACTGATAGCTTTTTGTGCACAAACAGGCGTTGCAAAACATGTTGGTGATGCTCTAAGAGAACATGCTTCCAGATCATCTCGAAAGATTTGCACTATTGGGATTGCTCCGTGGGGAGTAATTGAAAACAGAAACGACCTTGTTGGAAGAGATGTAAGGATAAATTACCTAATTGAAATAATGATTTATCTGACTTATTTCTTTGACAAATCTGCTCAAGCCTGTTTTTTTAATTTGCTTTGCATCATTGGAATACTTGCTTTGTGGTGAAGATACGTTGACATCTCTTGACTTATGCAAGATCGTTAGCGTAAACAACTTGCAGAATGCAAATGCACTAGAGGAGGAGCTTGTTCTCAAGTGCTTCCTCCTTTTGCCCTCCCCTACTGATATTACTGAATCAAATAATAAAAATGCTGAAGTGTTACAGAGAACTCACATTTACAGAGGACAATAAGTTGAAAAATTTTCATGTGGAGCCTTCGATACTGCTGTTTGCTCGAGCAGTCACAAGTTCTCCCCAAAGACCTTTTCAGAGGATCTTTTCTCTGTTATCCGTCAGAACAGAATCGTTTGCAATAGTTACCTGCATTC